AGGCTACTTTGGGTCTTCATGAATGACCTTGTGGTTATGGCTTATTATGTTTTCCAGTTCCTTTTGGCGAAATTTTCCTCGAAATTTGCTAGTGCCTTAAAAATAAAAATAAAAATTAGTGTAAAAATAATAAGAATAATAAATAAAAAAAGTAATCAAATATTGCAAAATAAAAATAAGGTTAATATGTCAATTAAATATAACAAATAAAGTAAAAAAAAAAAAGAGGATCAAGTTGAATTAAAAGGGTAAATTAGAAAAGGTGACTAAAACGAATTACGCTTCAAAATATTGGGGGACTGCAAAAATTATTTAACTTTTTTCTAATTGCACTACATTCCCCCTATAAATAGCCCAAAGTTTCCAAATTTCCTTCATTCGTAATGAGCTCCCAAAAATAAACCCTCTATTTTCTCTCAACTCTCTCCCAAACCGGGCCTAGGCTCGGCCACTGAATCCTCACTCAATCCTTTAGAGAATCTTTTGAAAAATATTTCTTGCTTGAGAGATGCATTTTCTTGAAATAATTGGTGTAAATAGCAAATAAACAAATCACACATGTTGATTTAAAAAATTATAGCCCTTTGGTAAGTGTCAAGATCGATAGATGATCTGTGAAGGCAATGTAAATTGATTTGATTTTATTAGGGTTTCATGGTTTTCGAATGTTTTTGGAATGCCCCACAATTCTGACATGACCTTCAAATAGGATACAGACAAAATAGTGCAACTAGTTCATTTCAATGCTAGACTTCTTAGAAAGCATTTTTGTTTTAGTTCTTAGGAATCTTCCATTTGTTCAAGTTTCATAGACTCTTTCAGCAGAGATAGCGCAGAAATATTAATCTAAAAACAAAACTCCTGAGTGTTTTTGTGTAGTCAATTATAACATATGTTTATTGACTCCCTTAGACCACCTTTCATCGAAATTAGTTATCAAGCCACATTTACTTGAGGCCTTACTGCCTTTCTTTAAATTATAATTTATCAACTTTGATGTCATCGCTTTAGATTTTGCTAGGAGATTCATCTCGACACATAGAGACTAGTGTCATGATCTGAATGAAATCATATGCATAAAGTTAGGCCAACTGACATGGCCCATTTTTTAGTGAAATACCCTTAATTAAAGGATTCAAGTGTCAAAAAGTCTTTGACTTGATAAACTCGAACAAAACTCACTTCATAAAACTCGAACATTACCTCAATAGTTGTTTCAGAAATTACCTCCGAAGATTAACTCCGAAGATTAACAACTTACTACTTTCAGTGGAGTGCCCCCAACAATGTTGAAATTAATTTCTATTGGCACTACATTATTCCTTGAGTCTTTGATTTCAAGACTTTCTAAGCTTGTCAGGAAGAATATGTTATAGTTTGAGTGTAAGTGAAAGTCAGGAAACTTCATCGTCAGAGCTTAATTTCCAAGCAACTGATCTAAGACAAATTCATCTATTCTACCATTCTATTCGTGAAAATTATATATCGTAATTAAAAGTCCTTAACAGATATGCAAGCTAATCAATCTTGTATTGCCATGCATAAAAATGCCCCATTTTGTCCGCTTCCACACTTACCTAGGTATCTGATAGCTTCATTGTGTGGGGGAAATGTTTCTTTGTTTTTTTGGGTCAATGATGAGTGGACCTTGTCTTTATGGGAGTTTGATCTCGTCATAAGTCAAAAGGCTATAACCTCGATATGAATTTCAATACATTTGATATGCACTGAATTTCAAAAATTATTTCACTACTTAAATAAATGTCATTTTAAAAAGTTCATACATATAAAAGACAAATTCAAACAAGACATTATATCCTAGGCACCGTAACTCCATTGTAATGGCGATGATCTCCTCTCGTCTCGTCTTAGGATGCCTTATTTCTTGGTTGTGGCATTAAAACTATAGGAGTTCCTCCATCTTTGACAATTTTCATCCGGTCTTCCAACTGTCTTATTTTCTCCTTCATCTTCTGAGACTTGTCCTCCTCGTTAAATTCTAGAATATGATAATCTTTCATATTTATTGTCGAAGCCTCTACCTTCATGGTAGAAGAGTTTCCCGAGTACTCTTGAAAGTTTTTGGGTGTAATTACCAGCTTTGATGGTAAAGCGACGCCACTAATTCTTTCAATCCTTCTACCTTATGGACGCTTACAAAGTTTAAGCCTATCAGCTTGGCCACAATCTGATGAACTAGGCTACTTTGGTTCTTCATGAATGACCTTGTGGTTATGGCTTATTATGTTTTCCAGTTCCTTTTGGCGAAATTTTCCTCAAAATTTGCTAGTGCCTTAAAAATAAATAAAAGATTAGTGCAAAAATAATAAGAATAATAAATAAAAAAAGTAATCAAATATTGCAAAATAAAAATAAGGTTAATATGTCAATTAAATATAAACAAATAAAGTAAAAAAATGAGGATCGAGTTGAATTAAAATCAAATTTAAAAGGGTAAATTAGAAAAGGTGACTAAAACGAATTACACTTCAAAATATAGGGGGACTGTAAAAATTATTTAACTTTTTTCTAATTGCACTACATTCCCCCTATAAATAGCCCAAAGTTTCCAAATTTCCTTCATTCGTAATGAGCTCCCAAAAATAAACCCTCCATTTTCTCTCAACTCTCTCCCAAACCGGGCCTAGGCCCGGCCACTCAATCCTCACCGACCGCCGTTTTCCACTGCTCTGGCCACCACCCACGATGGACGAATCCTAAAAGCTACCCAAAGTACTCATTTTCACCTTCTCATCCCCGATCCAACCTTCGATCATGTATACAAAGAGCTCATCAGTGTAGATCTGACAAAAATCTCTCGGTATTTTACCTCTTTTGATGGTGGCGTTTTAGATTCAGGCGAACATTTGTGCTCCGGTGAACGTCTCGACAGTGATATTTCACCTTATCAGAGGCCGAACGTCCACGAAGCTATGTGGTCTTCTATTTCTCTTGATTTTTTTTGTGCTTCAAAAACTAATCCCCTCCACGTTATTTGTTGCAGTGGCTTTATAAGCGCTTGTATATGAATGTTTCCTTCTTAATCGAAGGATTTGATGCATTTTGCTTATCCCAAATTAAACGAGATTCACTGATTTGATTGAATGATTCTTTACTTTTTCGTTTTGTTGCCTTTTTGCATGTTGTTGTATTTTAGATTTACTCCGATTTGATCTTTATTGTCGCTGTTAGTTTTGATCATGTTACCGATTTGTTTCCATTTTGGTCTTGTGACTTGGTTACCAAAGGTGCAAAAATCTAGAAATTTCGATTGGCGCGTGGCCCTCACTCTCAGCCTCTATATTTTGTGGTGCTTGATGAGCTATTGGATCATTGGGATCTGATCTAACGGTCAGGATCCGTTCGGTGCTGATGTTAAGGTTTTAAAACCCTAATGCCTCGGGTCTTTCACTGGCCCGATTAGTTGTCTGCTGGGTCAGGCAGACGGGTCTCCTTTGGGCTCCTGGATTCTTTGTTGGGGTGAATAATTTGTACATTAACTTTTGGAATCTGGACTTAGACTTGGACATTGACCTTAACCTGAAATAAATAATAAATAAATAAATAAAAAGTAAATAAAAATAAAAAGAAAAGAAAATAATAATAATATATTTAAAAAGTAAATAAAAATATAGTTTTTGAAAACATATTTAATATATATATTTTTTGAAATCATACGGTTTTTGAAAATATAATATATATACTATACTATACTATACAATATATAATTTCGAATATATATATATATATATTAAAAATGGAACAAAGTCTCGGAAGAAAATGAGTGTCTACAACCGTAAAGGTATGCGAAAAACTGACCAACAACCATGAGAATCGTGTCACAAGTGCAGAGTAAAATCATATTATAAGGAAAAAATCTTATTCAAAATTAAAAAGAATCAAGTAAAAAAGATAAAAGACATAATATAAAAAACAAAAGAACTTATAGTCAGTGGTGGTCGTCAACCAACAATAAGATTAATGTCGTTGTCGACTAACCAAAAATCAAAGAAAAAAAGAAAACGAAACAATAATATTAAAAGAAAATTAGGTTTAAAGTAAAGAGAAGCAGCTAACTATTAATATTTTTATTTAAGAATGAATAAAAATATTTTCTTTTCTTTTTATTTTCTCTCTTGTTCTTTTTCCTGATTTTTTTATTAACCTCCTAGATCCAAGGTAGTTTTGGTGGGTGAATATCTCAATGGGGATTTTATGTATACATAAGGACTCGAACTTGAGACATTACTTAAGCAATATCAAACTACTTATCATTTGAACCAACCTCTATTAGTATGGTTTATTTTTTTAGGTAGCTTTTAGTATATATAAAGATCATAGATGATTCTAATTAGGAAAATAATCTTACTATTATGGAATCTTACCGTTCCAGATTTTGAATTACCTAATTATTATTAATTTGTTATACTTCAAAGTACCGAAAAAACATATTATAATAATTAAACAAGATAATATATTTAATATTATTTAAAAAATTGTAAAATAATAGTAATGTTTTATTTTACTTTCAAAATGAAGTATAATTAAATTAACTCATTTTTTCAAGAGGAAGCTAATTTCTAATATATACAATTTTCTAATAAACTATTTAATTTTAAAAGCTGAAGCTAAATTTATCAAAACTAATATAATTTTAAAAACATTGTTACCAAAAGAAAAAAAAAACTTAAAAATATAATCTTAAAAATAGTTACAATTGATTTTGTTATTCAAATTTTCAACTTTAGTAATGATAATTTTAAATATTGTTAATATTTTTTTGGGTAATCTACATATTTAGTCGTCCAACTTTTAATTTGGTTATATTTTAATCATTCAAATTTTGTTTGAATGATCACTGACTTCACATTTCAGTTTCATTTTGATCACGGATGTTAAAAACTTAATAATATTGTTGATATGGTATTTTTAAATAATTTTTAATGATAAAGTGAATATCTTGTGATAACACAATAACTTCACCATTATTCGATTCCGTCGAATAGTCCTTTTACAGAGGTGGGATTTTAGTTGTTTTAATGCTTTGTATCAGCTTGAAGTTCTGGAAAACATTTCTTGTGCAAATCTCATTGATTTTTGTTTCGTTTCGGTTGTTTTTGTGTTTAATTTCATAGAAAATGGATCGGGGCAGAGTCAAATCTTACAGGAGAAGATCTTCAATTGTTTCTCAAAAGCTTCAAGTTACTGACCGTAGTTTCATGGAGGTGATAAAGACAATTTCCAAATACTTTTTTAAGCTTTTTGGTTTCAATTCTTCAGTTTTTGCTTATATGTTATCATTATCTGCAAATCTTGGCAAATGCGTGTTTTATTGTTTCTTCAAAATGGTTCTCTCTTTCCAGGTTTTGGGATGGGGGAATTTCATATTTTTTAGATTTGTTTTGAGAATTTACTGCAAAAAACTTGGGGTTGAATCTTTCTTTTAACAGAAATATAGGAACCATATGTTCATGCTGATTTTATGCCATGAATGCAGATTGATGAAGCTCATTCTATAGGTAAAAATCATGGCGGATGCATACTTGGAATTAGAACTCGTTTAAAGGATGTCAGTAATGGCTTAGCCAATTCTAAAGAACTTGTTAAAGTTTTGAATCGAGTTTGTGGTCTAGATGATAAACATCCGTCAAGCATGTCATTAGTCTCGGCATTATATGCCGAACTCGACCGAACAGGAATCCATGTTGATCAATTGATTCGGGAGCAACGATCGAATCACGAGGGAATCGAGCATCTCATGAGGCGTTTTGCCGAACAAAAGCTCGTTTGGAAGAGGAGCGAGCGTGATAGAATCCATGACACCGTAGCGTGTATTGCCGAAGAGCTCGAGATGGAGAAGAAACTCAGGAGGGGAACGGAGAGATTGAACAAGAAGCTCGGGAAAGAATTGGCCGATACGGCGGTGGCACTGTCCAAGGCAATGAAAGAGGTCGAAAGTGAGAATAGAGCAAAAGAGATTTTGGAGCAAGTCTGCGATGAATTGGCTCGAGGTATCGGAGAAGAACGAGCTACTGTTGAAGAACTGAAACGAGAGTTGGCTAAAGCGCATGAAGAAATGGAGAAGGAAAGGGAAATGCTTCAATTCGCCGATGTATTACGAGAGGAGCGAGTCCAGATGAAGCTCTCCGAAGCTAAATATCATTTTGAGGAGAAGAATGCAGTCGTCGAGAAGTTGAGAAATGAACTTGAGGCCTACCTAGGAACCAAACTAAACGAAGAAAATGTCCACGGTTCGCTGAATCTGCAGAGGATCAGAGAGCTCAAAGCTTACTTGAAAAAGATCGATTTTGGTTCCGGCCAAATGGTCAAGCAAGTTGCGGATAAACTCAATGTTATGGACGGAGAAGAGTGCGAAGCAGTTGATTCAGCCGATAGCGATCTTCACCCCATTGATTTAAACATGGACAACAATGACATGTGCTACAAATGGAGTTATGCTCGAAGAAATATAGCCGAAGGAGGATCGAATAAGTTTCCGATCGAAAAGGACAGTAAAGAGAGGAAATCGCTTTCCGAGACCAAGTACCTTGCATCGCAAGCTGAGGCACATGATTACGAAGATGAGATAAAGAGATATAGATCTGTAAAGTCTTAGAGATCACATACTATCAAGTAACAAATAGCTCCTATCCAAAGCTTTCTGAGTCCGACCCAGCAGCGGTGCCAGTCCATGCACCTCGAGGAGGCCAGAGCCGGGACTGTTTCGCCGGCGTCGAAGGCGGATGGTTTGAACCCTAAGCTTGTTGGCTCATTAAGTGAAGGCCGAACTTCAGCAAGATAAGAGAGAAGAAACTTGTTATTTATTTATTTGAATTTCTTTTCTTTTTTGCTTTCTTGAGTAATGCTATGTTGCATTTTCTTGAATTAAAAGGCTGTTTTTTAAAATGTTTTAATCAATCGGCAAACTCAGAATTACCGAGAGGCTGAGACTGTAAAATAAAGTTATGAATTGTAATAATTTAAGAATACAATTGAAGATATTTTCTTATAAAGGTAGTGAAGATACTATTTTTTTCTCCATTTACTATTATTATTATTTATTATTATTATTATGATTATTATTATTATTATTTTTATTATTATTTTATTATTACAAACGGGCCAAGTCTGGCCCAACCAGTTAACCCAAATACAATGGCCCAAACAGTTAACCCAAATGTAGGGTTTGTATCTAAACCCCAGCCGCCATCATCCATCCACCGTTGGATCTGGCATGATCCAACGGTCCAAGAACCTCCAGATGCAAACCCTAGGGTATGATACCCTAGGGCCACGCGGCCGCCGCAGCTGCTCTCGCCATCTCCACCGCTGCCACGTCCCAACCGAAGGCTCCAGAAGCTCCAACGCCAGCCGTCCACGCCATGGCTATGGGGTGAGTCACCACTGGGAGTCCGGTGACTCACCGAAGGGTATTCTTTTACCCGGTCCGATGGCCACACCGGTGATGGCTATAAAGCCATCACCCCATCTGCGAGCAAAAAAGAAGAACAACAGAGAGAGACGAGAAAAAAAACAGAGAAGAACAGAGAGAGACGAGGAAACAACAGAGACAGAGAGAGATAAAAAACTACCAACGATCCCAGTCAACAACAACACAGCAACAACAACAAAAAAGGAGAGAAGCTTACCAAAGAAGCCTTGACCATCGCCGGAAGCACTAAACATCGCCGGAGAACAGAAAATACCGAAGGTATTTTCATAGATTTACTCCGATTAGGAGTCTTTTTGGGGAAACAAAGGTCGGATTCGGTCTTAGGGTGTTTAGATCTACATTTTAGGTAAATTTGGGGAATTTCCGACCACCGGAGGCGGTGGTCGGCGACAGAATTTGTGGCGGCAGACGGCTGCCGGATTCCCTCTGGTGAGGGAATATAGAGAGAGGCCAGAGAGAATTCTGGCTCTCTCTCTGCTTGAGAGAGAAAAAAAAAAGAAAATGAGATAGCTGGCCCGAAGGGCCAGCCGGTTAGGGGCTTAAATAGCCCTTCCCAAACGACGCCGTTTTGGGGAGGGCTATTCGTGTAATTAAATAATAGTTAAATCCTTTCCGCAGTCAGCCTAATTTGTAAACTTTACATTTTAGTCACTAAATCAATTTATAATCCTTTTAATTCGGTTCTTTAATTTTAATTTTATTTATTTTAGTCCTTTGTATTAAAATAATATATTTAGGATAAATAACAGATTTAATCCCTTAATTTTAATAAGTAATATTTTAATCCCTAGTTTATATTTTTAATTTATTTTAATCTGATATTTCGAATTTTAGATAAGTTTATTTTAGTCACTAAATTAATAGATAAGAAAATAGCATGTTTAATCCCTATAATTTTGATTAATATTGAATTAGGTTTTTAATTTTAATTTACTATAATTTAGTCACTTATTTTAAATGTTTTTTTTATTTTATTGATTTTAAATATATAGTTATAATTGTATTTTTATTATTTTAATTTTACTTGTTTATATATTTAAATATTTTTATTATTATTATGTAGTCATAAATATATATATAATAAATAAATATTTATTCATATTTTTTAATAAATTATTTTTTATTTTTCAATATCGAAGAAAAGGGCAGTCTTAATACAACTGGATGTCCTATTCTGGTATTTTAAAATTAAATATTATAAAAAAATTATTATTTAATTTTATTCAAATTAATATTTATTAATATCAAAGAAAAGAGCTGTCTTAAGGCACCTAGAAGTCATTTTCCGATATTTTTAACTATTTTTTATAATTTTGAAATAATAGGATTATAAATTAAATATATTTTGATTTTTTAATAATAGAGACAATTTATAATTAAAAAGTACCAATTTTGGGCGTTGTAGGGGTGCTAATCCTTCCCTAAACGTAACCGACCACGAATCCCTTTTTATTATTAAAAAGAACGAATTTTTGGTTATAAACGCAGATCAGTTCAATTTTTTTTATTGATGTTTTCTTAAAACTCTTTTAAAAAAAAAAAATTTAGGTATTCGACCTACCTGACCCAAAAAGGCCGATGGCGACTCCCAAATTATTTTCAAAAACCATTTATTCACATCAATTTTTCCGCTAAATAAATATTTCGTGCCCGGACGAAAACCGGTTACGACAGCTTGGCGACTCTGCTGGGGATGGGTCAAACTTTAAAATCAATTATAAATTGTCTCTATTAATTAAAAATTAAAAGTTCATATATTTAATTTTTAATTCTTTCTTTTCAAAATTTTTTATATTTACTTATTATTTTCATAATATTTATATGTTTTATTTTATTTGCAAGTATTTTATTTCATTATTTATTTTTCTGTCAAAGGTTTGAATATTTCTCCTCACACACAACACTTGCATTGCATAACATAAAACTCTATAATTGAGTTTGTCCCTTTTAAGTGGGAGTGAAAGCGACGTCTTCGTGAGAATTTATTCTCCGTGTCAGACCTAGCAAGTAACTTTCGGGGTTCATATACTCTATGTTTTCGTGAGAATTTATTCTCCGTGTCAGGCATAGAGAAATGTATCCCCTCGAATTGAACTCGATCCATTTTAGTCTGTGATGGATTAGGATTGAGGGTTAGCAACCCAAGGGGGCACTAACAAGGACAATTCGGGTACTTTTATTCCTAGATCTGAAACTCTGCATATAAAACTCTAGAAACTCTTCCAATACGAAGCCATGCCGAAATTTTGTCCAAAATAGGTGTACACACAGGAGAAATGAATTCTAACTTTCCTGTTAATTTATTTATTTTCTTTACTGATTAAATTACATGTATATTTAAATTATTTAAATTTAGAAAAAGCATGTTTAAATAAAAATATTTAGGTAAATGTTATTATTAAATTTCTTTATTATGTAAACTAATTCATTTCTTTTTATGTGTTCTTTATTTTTTTTGTTTGCATAGCATCATACAGGATAAAAGGCATTGATCCTTGTGTTAATTGTCTCATTGGAAAGCCTTCATCCATGGATAAAAAGTGTTCAAATCAAGTAATTCTAAACTCAGAAGTAAGACAGTGGGCTGAGGATTTACAAAGACAAGAAGGAGACAGTCTGCAGGATGATTATGTATCTGACTTAGCCAGTTATGCTCCAGTTTCACTAAAAAGAAATGATATGCAAGATTTGCGAAGTATTTGGGAAAGTTGGGATTCAAACAAAAAATTGCAGTTTTATCAGACTTACGGAGACATCCCATATTTGCTTTATGTCGAAGTTGATGATGAATTACTCAGAGCCCTAATTCAATTCTGGAATCCATGGTACAATTACTTCACTCTCAATAAAGAGGACTTGGTCCCTACTATTGAAGATTACACAACTTTGTTACATATCGAAGGGGCTTTGGAGAATCGAATCTATTCAAAGTCAATTAAAACTCAACCCTTTCGAGTTAAATTAGCAAAGATTGCCGGGGTACGAGAAGAATGGGTGGCATCCCGTACAAAACAAAAAGGCGAAAGCGAAGGCATTGCTTGGACCAACATTAAAGAACTTATTCAGAGCCATCCAGATATTAAAGTACGATTCGATTTATTTGCTCTGGGTATGTATGGTATGGTCATCTTCCCAAAAGTATTGGGATATGTTGAAGCTGCAGTGGTAGATTTGTTTGAACAGCTACCGAAAAAGATTAATCCTGCTTCTGCAATCCTAGCAGAGACCTTCAGATCGTTAAATACTTGTAGAAAGCTAGGAGGTGGACGATTCTCAGGGTGTACCCAGTTGTTATATGTTTGGATCCGTAGTCATTTCTGGAGGACAGAAAAGGTTTCATACCGACGCTTTAATACGGATTACTCACCATTAAAAGAATTTCTGGAGCAGGAATGGCCGAAAGAAATTAAGAAAGATATGTGGATTAATGCCTTTCGAAATCTGCAAAGCAATGACATTGTTTGGCGAGCCCCGTGGCAAATCCAAAGGGAATTCTTTTACAAATGTGGAGATTACAATTGGATAATGCTGCTCGGATTATGGGGAGGAATTGGGTATGCACCACTTCTGGTCATAAGACAGTATGAAGGTCGTCAATTTGTACCTGTCACCGCTGGATTACATTCATCTGAGTTCGCATTCCACATCAAAAATTATAAAAGAAATATCATGGAAGCCGTTACAGCTTGGAAAACAACTTTTTGTATCCGAGCTAAAGCAGCAAAAGAAATGCTAACTCCTGATTATGAGGAATGGAGATATGTCAGGAAAAATGAAAATATTCCTCTACCAGATCAAAATGAGGATATCTCTATGGAAGATCGCATTAAGGTGGTTCCATCAGAGATTGAAATCCTGAGAGCTGAGTTTGAAGCAGAAAAAGAATGTTGGTCGAAAGAATTAGAGCAAATGAGACAAGATAAAGCTATGTTGGGTGTTGACATTGACTTTCATTCATCACAATGTGCAATGTTGAGAAAAGATAAAGAAAAAGTTGATGATGAATTCAGAGCATTACAGAAAAATTACCAGGAGTTATATAAATCCCGGAAAGCATCGGGATCAAGCCAGGCAACAATACAGATGACCAGAGAATTGAACATCGAGAAAAGACGAGTTGAAGATTTGAAAGGAAAGAATAGCCGTCTACTCAAAAGCCTTGAGAAAGGAAAGCAAAAAATGGAAGATTTTGAGGTTGACAGAAGAGAGCGAATTATAAAAAGCAAGGCTGAACACCGCGAGATCATGAATGAAATGCAAAGAGAAAGGGATCGAGCCAAAGATTTAGAAGAGATGAAGAATGACGTCGTTGATAAATTTGAAGGTGAGAAAAATATCATGTTCAAGGGATTTGAATCTGAAATGAACCAGCTGATTGCTGAACTTGAAGTCAGAGGCCAAAAGATGGAAGAATCCAATATTGAAAAAGAAAAATGGGAGCTAGAAAGAAAAAATTTCAACACCAGACTTGAGGTAGAGCAGGAAGTGGC